GCTGGGTTCGGTCGAACCCAGCCACTGGGTTTGACGGAACCCAGCCACTGGGTTTGACGGAACCCAGCCACTGGGTTTGACGGAACCCAGCCATTGGGTTTGACGGAACTCAACTGGGTTCCATCGAACCCAGCTCCGAACCTAGCAGATCTGGGTTCGGTGGAACCCAGCCACTGGGTTCCGTTCGAAGAAGAGGAAGAAAGACCCGAGGAAGAAGAGGAAGAAAGAAGAAAAAGAAAGAAAAAGAAAAAGAAAAAAAGAAAGGAAGAATATGGAATATAATTATTTTATTTTATTTTTTAAAAATATAAATAATAATAATCTGAGTTGGCAATGAATTGTAATAAAAAAAAAATTTTAAGTGGACACGTTTGTAATTTGCTTTTGCCACCTCATCAAAAAAATTATAAAAAATGCCACATAAACGAGTTAACGGTCCAAATTAACAGAAAGACTAACGGAGTGCATTTCGTATAGTTGAAGAATAAAAAAGTGCAAAATTTTGTTAAGGGATAAAAAATGTTCATTTCGTAAAGTTGAGAGACCAAATTAAGCATTTAATCTTATTTTAAAGAACATAGCTTAGTTTGATTGTTAATATATCTTAACATTTTGTGATAATGATTTTTTAAAAATTGAAATTCAGATTGATGCTGACCATAATGACATAAATTTTAAATAATTTTTCTACATTTAAGATACATAATTTCATTTTTCATAGACGTGAAACTTAGCATAATCCATATTCTATGACGTTTGCAAATTAAATATAAAATTTGATTATCTAATTTTCTTCTTAATATTATAGTTGGCCCACTACTCGCTGATGATTTCATGGCTGCAAGTTGACATGTGAATTGCATTATTATTTTGTGCAATAATAGCATGGCGTAGGGCCTGTAACAACATATATCGTAAAACTGGATTTTTTATTTTTTTTATGAGATAGGACAACTAAACTAAACGAAACTTCATGGAGGAGAAAGCTGGGAGAAGAAATAAGGATTCGAATCATTATTACAGGGATAAGAATTGATAAAGCAACGTCTTTATTGACAAAAATGGAATCTGAAAAAGAAACGAGGGTTCAAATCATAACCATAAGGGGTAACCATTGCCTGTTTTGAAAAAAAAAAAATTATAAGGGGTAAGGATTGTGACAGCGCCTTTTTTATTGATAAAAGTGGAATGTCTATCCTTATGATTAGCACAAGTTGCACCTCAAGTGTCCCTCCTTTCTAAGCAGCCACACATGCACATGTCAGATGGAATCTCTATAATTTCTTCAAAGATTTTTTTTTTTTTTTGGTAAGGAAATGTTGGTTTAGGACCCTTGGCTATATATACTTACGGGCTACGAGCTTTACTTTCATCCCAAAGTAAAGTTTCTAAAGCCTTTGCTTGAAATTATGGGGTTTCATTTCGAATTCATAGTTGCTCTATTCTGTGTAAGCTAACATTGTAAACTAATTATATCTGCTTTTGCGTTGTTTTTCCTTTTTTTATATATAAAAGAAGCTAATGACACTTAATATTGATTTACATTTTTGGCAGCTTGGTGTTGTGGGAAGCTGTCATGCTTCCATGCCCGCT